GCAGCCACTCAGCACCCCCCCTTGAAGCAGACTCTCAGAGGATGCGGAGAGGAAGGTCATAAAGTCAGAACAAGATCAAAAGAAAAAGCTACCAGTGTGTACAAATGAATTAGCATTTGAAATTGTATATGTGCTCTTGAGAGATTTAAGTTGAAAGAATTGAAAGACTTTTTATTCAGCTGTCAACATTAAAGGTATAGAACATTTAGCCTTTAATGGTTAATGTTTAACTTTAATGGTTTTAACACTGTCAGCACTTTTACAATTCAAGACTTTAACCTTTTAGATTGGATGTCGAGTTGATATATTGCGCTTTTGAGGTTTTCCCTTTTCTTCAATATGCTGAATAACATTATGTGCAAGAAGGAGATCCAACTAAAAGTCAGTCTCTCAGACAGGGGAGCTGCCCCTGAACTGCCTGAAACACCTCATTAACAGTACACACATTTCTTCTCTTGTTTGACTTCACCACCACTTGCATCATGAATGCCTGGTGGCTGGTTCCTCAGACCTCCAAGAAATAACGAAGTGCTCCATTACATTTTTTATTTTTGGCCAATCAGCGGAGACTTCAGGTACACACGGAAAGAGGATTTAAAAAGAGACAGCAGCTGAAATGTAATGTTTAAGACACAAACTGGTGAGAGGTGAAAAGAAATAATCAAGTTAAAAAGGCAATAAAAGAGCTTATTTATGAATGTGTCAATGTACATGAGGGCTTTTATTTGTATTTCTGGATTTCAAGGAGAGATTTTGAAAGGCATGCAGAATCCATCAGCCTTTGAGAAAAGTTGAGAAGTTATGTTAAGGATTAGATAAGCTGAATTGTTCTTCGTCTGTAGCTTTCTGATTAATGGAAAATGAATAACACTGACTCCACATTGGGTCAGACACATAAGTATCTTGTTTTAGTAAAAGAGCACTTTAAGAAATCCACTAGAAGAGCTCAGTGAGAGCACAAGAGGATTAGAAATATACCATCACTATGTTTGCTCTGTAGTCTCTTGATGGTTAGAAATCTGATAAATCTTGCAGCAGGTTAACAGGCTAACAGGCAACAGCTAGAAAAGAACACTGACCTGTATACCTACTGTTGACTCTTATAGCTTATTAAGGAACTTGGAGCTGAGATAGACAACAAGCCACATCATTTCCAGTCAAATGCATTTGAACATTTTTTAAATTGATTTGATGATTGTGTTTTGTACAATGTTCAGGTTACACAAAACCCAAGAAAAAAGCCTTACGTGGAGTACTACAGAAATTATTTTAGTACTAAATAGTTTAGTACTAGCACTAATAGTAATAAACCATTTAACTAAATAATTACTAAACAGAATGAGACTAGTACTAAATAATAAATGTTGCACTACATGGATGTGGAAATGCTAGCAAATGCTTTGATCAAGTCTGCAATCATTAATGTTTCAGATGATTACACACTCGCTTTAGAAATATCATGTATTTCTTGAAGCCCAAAGATGGAGCTGTTTTAATAGTGATTTTTTTTTTACTTCACTTATAACCAAGATGCTGATTAAGAATAGTGTAAGAGGAGATTTTGGGGAGCACCTGATTAGGACCAAGGCCTGCATTAGAAATGCCTGGGTGTTGGCAGATGCCGTGGCTTATATAGACAGAGTGACAAAAAAAAAAACTTCTCTATAATTCTGTAACGGTCTGCCAAAAGCACAAGTAATAATCAAAAGACAGCAAAATTTGATAAATGACCATCTTTTCCACTTTGTCACAAGTTTTCCCCCTTCTCTCCATGAACTATGCCCAATCTAAACGAAGCATGTGACAGGACAGGAATCAAACCCACATCAGAGAGAAAAGCATATCATAATAATAAAAGAGGAGCAGATTCAGAAAACATGGCCAAAAGTGTCAATACAGAAGATTTTTTTCAATGGGTTTCAACACCTGGTTTGTTTCCTATTAAAATGATTTTAAAACAGCCCAGGTCTTGTCCAACAGCATGGGGCTTTGTGAGAATATATGTAGAGAAAGCCTTCTAGATCTCAACACGAGCAAAATAACTACATGAAATTCAAACACATCAGCTGATGTTTGTCCCAGAATGTCTTTGTTTTTTTGTGGTGAGAAGCACAGTGTTTTAGTGACCACTGAGCATCCCACATTATGTTCACACTGTTCAGATTTCCAATGTATACTTTAACATTGGCAATATGATCCCAATTTGGTCTTTTCATCCCTGCTTTCAACAAATCTGAATAGCTATGGTAGTGTCACTAACAGAAATAAAGGTAACAGATGATTCAACATCACAGCATTGTGTGTGTGTGTGTGTGTGGGGGGGGGGGGGGGGGGTTGTCATACTAAACGCAGCATTAAAACCCGCACTGATCAGTCCTGTTGATTCGTCTTTTCATTCTTTCGGCTTCTCAGATCATTCTTTATAATGACCACCAGAAAATAAATCTGCAGTACTTTCTCAACAGGAGACTTTAAAGGACCTTAAAACTTAAACAACATTTCAAGCCACATAATAGTGGAACACGTCAATTTGCTTCATGAATATAAAACGGAGTAAGGATGATTCTACCACAGAGTACAAACATTCTCATTCTCAGTGCTTTATTGTGCCTCCTCACATGCTCGTAGCTTTGCAAGCCATGCCAGTGTCTCAGTTAAAGCTAACAAAGTACTATCCTTTTTTGCACTCAATTTAACATGCTCCGAGACCAAAAAATCTATGAGATGTGTAAGGACTCCTCCTTAGAGTTTGCTTCATATTTTGGCTTGCTTTCTGTGTTTGTCTTGGACTGAGTTTCTGCAGGTAAAGCACAATGGAGGATTTACTGAAACAAATACTGCTTGTCCTTGTTATCAACAGAACATCCGTCAAAGCAGGCATGGACTGCAGCCCTTATTAATACAATTGTGTTTGTCCAGTTTCAGTAGACAATGTATTCTATTGCTGTGATACTTATATTGTTGTTGTTGATAATCTGATAACATTTAATTTCCTAAGCATTGTGCATCCATTCATTCATTTTCCATACCGCTTCTTCCCAACAGGGTAGTGGGAAACATTGTGCAGCCCTATTGAAAATTAATTTTGAGCATTTACATATTTGAGTACTACTGACACAAGTGATCATGGTCACTCAAGATTTGATTAATTTTCCTTCAAAAATCAAGTTCCTATCAAGTTCAACTGTATTGCTAATGTGTTATTTTAGATGTAACAATAAGTATCATGAAATGAATCAGCACCAATGCTATTGCTGGGGATGTCTCCTTTAAACCTGCAGGGTAACACATACAGACTACAGAGAGATGAGGTAAGACCATGTAAAACACCTGATGTGCTGTTACAAACCCTCATAGCTAGTACAAGCTACTGAAGATCACAAAGATGTAGAAGCATTGTGGAAATGCTACATTAATTCTTTGGACTTGATCTGGAAATCGCAGACATGTGTTAAACAGAAGTGCCTGTGTCTTACCAAAAGATGTTAAACTACATAAAAAATATATCAAGGATGTTTGGTTACAAGTGATGCATGGTCACCGCTTATTAAAGGTACCAGACAGAAAATACATGTTTCTAGTATTCATCTGTTAGACCTAATCTTTTCAAAACTTGACCCAATGTCGCAAGACTTTGGAGCTAAACTAACAAACAGTGTCAATCAATTTTAGTTTGTCGTTATTTTCCCTTGACTATTAGCAACTGACAATGACAAGCAACGAGTCTCAAATACATCACATTTCTAATTTTGCTGAGCACAGCAAAAAGCACCCAAGTCTTCTTCTGCTGTGAAAAGATGTGTGAGTGCAAATTAGCATAATTTTACATAGAAACCCCATTCTCTGAATATGGAAATAGAATTTGAGTAAATTCCAAGCTATTTTAAGGCCACAAAACGTTTTTTCCATGGCAAAGACTGCCAAACATATTACTTTTGAGTTTGTATGGCATTAAATGCTGAGTGGGACACTAGTCCAGGGATCTCCTGGGATACTTCAATATTTTTTAAACGGTAATCACTTAAAAAAAGTGCTACTATAAACGGCATATTCAGGGCAGGGGAAAAAAAGTGGCTTGCATGAAAATGATGATCATGTAAATATCCAGGAGTATTTCCTGCCTGCTTCTGCTGTCATTTGTATGAAAACCTACTTGTACCCATTATAGTCACTAAAGCTTTGCCCAAAAAGAAAGCCCAGAAACGTATAATTATTCTTCTAATCATCATTTCTGATCGACTATTACACCCAGTCGAACTTCCAGAACAGTTTCAAGTTCACCTTGCATTTCATGGCACCACATCTCAGCACGCTTGAGGGAAAGATTAAGAGCTGGGAGAAATCATTATAAAGGTGACAGAACATTTCTCAGGAGACACTTCACCTCCAGACATACAGAGGAGAGATCTCACTTTGTAATAATGTTAAATTATTTCCTCACGGAGCTTGTTTTTTTTCACCGAAAACCTTGAATGATCTTTTTACTCTCATGCAATCAAAGCCATTCACTGCTTGTTTCCAATACCAACAAAAATGTCTTGCTTTTGCATGTACGTTGAGTCAAGAGGCTTTTGCTCGAGATAATAAGTAAAAATGAAAAAAGATTATGTTCATTCAGTTAGATCTGGGCAGCATAACAGGCTTCTTTACTGACATATAGTGATTTTATCTAAATCAGAATCTCATCAATTTGGGGTCTGTTAAAATTATGTAAAGCAAACAAAATGCCAAAGTAATGTGTCTATGCTGATACATAGTTAAATGCAACACTGCCGACCATTACTCACACTGACAGCCACAAGTAAGCTGTAGTGTACTGCAGAATGAGGCAGACTGTCGTAATGCTCATTTGAAAGTCAAAGTGATTTTCTTAAATTATTCAATATGTTGAAATAATCCAAACAATATATCTGGGGAATTCACCTCAGTTTGTTGTTGTTGTTTTTATATTTGTCCAAATGCAAATACGAATATGGATCTGCCATTCAGCGGCTACTCACCCCAATGTCGTCATTGTGACGATGGTGTACCAGAAGGAGGCCGGGATGCTGGTGAACTTGGTGGAGCTGGAGCCCTTCTCCGCATAGAACATGACCGTGGCAAATATGATGATGGCCATGGTGAGCGAGAAGAGCAGGAAGCCCAGCTCTGAAGCACAACTCTTGAGCGTGTAACCCAGGATCCGTAGGCCCTGCGAGTGGCGCGAGAACTTGAAGATCCGAAACACTCGGAACACGCGCAGCGTTACGAAGGCGCCGCTCACGTCCTCGTTGTTGGTCATGACCAGGCCGATGTAGTATGGCAAGATGGCCACGACATCGATGATGCTCATCACGGAGCGCATGAATCGGTAGCGGCTGGGCGCGGCAAACAGGCGCATCAGGTATTCGACGGTGAATATCATGACGCAGGCGGTGTCTATGCAGAAGAACGCCACCGTGTAGCGCTCGCCGCAAGGCATGTCTTTCTGGTTGGTGGTAGAAACGCAGGGCACGGTCTCCACCACATTGGTGATGACTGAGATCGCAATGAAGAAACCAGTGACATAGTAGAAGACCAGGGCCATGGTGGAGGTGTGGGGGTTCTCAAAGGCGCGCCACATGGTCTCCCTGAAGTTCATGTTGGGTTGCTTTAGGTCCTTGTTCTCCTCCTGGTCATCCTGCAGCCGCTCCGAGTTCTCCCTTTTTCTATCCTTATACTCTTCGTAGCAGCAGTCGCCAATGATCTCAGGTATGATCCCGAAGAAAATCAGCTCCTCGTCGTAGGCTGAGATGCACTCGTGGCGCGGGTAGTGGAGCTTCCCGGTGCGGTAGAAGTTGAGGATGCTCCTAAAGGCGTCGGGGTCACGATCAAAGAAGTACTCCTTGGTTTCCTCGTTGTAAAAGAAGTCCTTCTCAGAGCTGCCCAGCAGCGTGTCCGGATACCGGTCAAGAGTTGTCCTCCACGTCTGAAAGCGGCGCCCGCTGACATTAAGCATGATCAGCTCATCTTGCCTCCTGCTGTTGTCTCTTGGTGCGATTGGCATGGGGCAGTTGGCCACAGGCATCCACCCAATAGCTGCCGCCCTCGCAAAAGGAAGCCAAGCTGCAACTCCCGTTGCCATTGTGAAGCAGAATGTGGGAAGTATTCTTCCTCTCCTTCAGACTCTACTGTCCTCAGGATGAAAAGGCATCTGAAGAAGATACACCAGTAAAAAACATATACAACATAAAGGTACACATTCACAGCGGTGCATGAGTGAAACCAAATCATCAACATTGTGAAGCTTGTTATATTTGATGTTCTAAATCTTTTTTTTTGCCTGTTAAATTTATTTTCCTACTGCAGCTTTTGTCCAAATCCAAATGAGTCTGTTGAAAATTTCATATAATTGTAACCGCAAAACACATAAGGGACAACAGAAGCCCATTTGCAAAAAAATAAAAAATAAGAGAAAAAAAAACCTTGGTGCCCCACATATGAATAACCTAAGTTTAATGATCAGTGAATGCAGTGCATTTAGTCAGTAAAACATAAGCAACACTGATAAATAAACTGGAACCACACCACTACAACTGTCCTGAGCCACACCATTACAGCTGGATGGCAAGGACTGCAACAAACCTGTTGAATCTAAATAAGGAGGAAACCTGCCTATGTATTCACATGAAGATGATTAAAAAACATAGTTGGGGGATAGTTGCTGCATCTTTTGCCTGAAATATATTTTATATAAAGCATATCGTTTGGTCAGTTTGTCATTTGAATTGAACAGCTTCTCCTCATGCACATTTGTGGGGAAAAAAAGTTTTTGTGCAATGCACGTAAACGAGGTAAAAAAAAAAATACTTTCCCCAATTTTCTTAGCTGATTATTTAGAACTTCAGTGATGTAAATAATATTTATAGTATTTAACTAACTAACCTTTGCAAATTTGGAAACGCAATGGTAGTAAAAAAAAAACAAAAAAAAAACACTTACCGAACGAAAGACAGAGACAAGAAAATCTGAACTCTTCAAAGCCGAGACATGGGAGTTTCACTGAGCACTGTGTCCGCAGGTCCGAAGCAAACAGGAGGGTCTGGGATCCATCAAGCGAGCCAAGCCGACGGGCAGCACCTCTCCTCCTCCACAGGATCGATCAATAAACTCCAGCGCAATGAAGCACAATTAAGCGCAGTTTGAAAGCAAGACGCGGTTGACAAAAAACAGCCTTCCGTGAAAATCAGGTGGAAGCTACATTCCTACATTCTGGCTCCTCTGTGTCTCCGTCAGTTTGGAGAAAGTGAAACGTGATGGAGAAGGAGAAGGAGCTGCGCGCCTCCTTTCCTCCAGCGCAAACTACAATGTGCGTCTGGCTCACCGTGCCAGCTCCGTGTCATCACTCCTCCTCCACTCTGCTTCGGTTCACCAGCGGCTGAGACAGACCCACCTGTCACTTTAACCACGTGGAACACCGAGGTTCTCCCCAGAACGCGTAAAAAGGCCATTTGTGCTGACTATGGATATGTGGCCACACAGGAAATTTCATTATGAAGCCCAAAATCAGACAAATAGGCCGTTTAAATGTTCTTAAGATCTCTCATAAAGTGGCAACTTCAGAAATTGTCAATTGCAAACATTCCTTTACAATCTGAAATAGTTTATCTGCTTCATTAAGATGTATCCAATGAGCTTCACCTCTGTTGCTGATGATGGAGGGTTAACTGAATGATTTGAACATTACTGTTTAAACAGTTCGAACTTAAGTTTAGTCCATTTTTTTAACGATGAAAATTCCTCTTTGGAAATGCCAAAATGAAGGCCAAAGATTTGAACATTCAACATCAAAAGCTTAAACCCAAATCCTTGGACATTAATGCATGCTGGCATGCTGTTGGCCACTGTGGATCCCCCCCCCCCCCCCTTGTGTTTGATGTTGTTTATCACAAAAGGCTGCCAGATTCTTGCAAGGTACATATGATCATGGGAGATAACTTGTGCAGCATCAGATGAAGGAGGCTCACCTATTAGGCAACATTTTATCACCACCTCAGCAGATCTGAGGAGGAGAGCTGCTGCAGCTTTAGCGGGTGTGGGCCTGATGTAGTTATCTATTTCTCCAATTTTCGGATTCACAGAGAATGGATTCCGGGATAATCATTTCAAACTTGTCATTTTGACCCTGTTAAAGAAGAAAAATTTAATCATCTGTTTTTTTTGTCCAATTGTTTGTTTGCCTGTAGAAATTCAAACTGATTATCAGGGTTGCAAAGCCCTCATAGCAAACCTGATTGTAAGGCTGCTTCTTTTATATTTTTAATCAAGTCTTTGTCAAAGCGTACAGACTTTCTATCAGATCAATCCTTTGGAGAGAGTTTCTTTACGAATATATCAGAGAACATACAGTCATCTTTAGAGAATCCTAGAAGCTATTTTCCGCATCCAAAATTCACTTTCTGTTGAAAACAATCCCACATGTTGAAATGCCTGATCTGATGTAGCATTTTTCTGTCTGCAGGTGCAGACCCCTGAAAACTGTTCGAAAGCCCACCTTTTCTTTGGCTTGACTACAGGTCTTTTCATAGAGCAGTCACACTCTGTTGGAATAAACAAAAGACATTCTCATTGTGCTGCTTTGTGCCTATCTGGATTTCATACAGATTAGACAAAGATGGCATATGTTGGTTAGTGTTTTTTTTTTCTTCCAGAAGATGGTTTTAAAACTGAGAGAGAGATTTCAGTGTCAGCATCCTCTGAATTATGCCACCATCCACTCAGGGGTCTGCATTTCCCCTGCGCTTCTCCACCATTTTCACAAGCATTTGTTCTTTTACAGGGAGAGTGTCATGATTTCCAATGTGCATAACTTGAAATTGTCAAAATCCGAACAAAACCACACACAACGACCCCAGGAGACGTAGCTGGTAGGATGGACACAAAAGGTAGACAAACCAAAAGGTGACTAAAATGCATTATTTATTCAACACAGTCTAACTTCTGAATGTGTGGTAGACACATTTGCCCACACAAAACAGCTCTGCCATCCTGCCATTAAAAGCTTTTATGGGCAAAACAATCTCATTGCTGGACATGCACCTTTAAAAAATGTCTTAAAATTGCCACAAAACTATTTTTGACCACTGAAAAATACTGCTAAAACACATAAGCTGGGGTAGGAAAAGATGATTATCGACTGTAATGTACCAAACTTGAGTTTGTGAGATTTCAAAAAGTCACTTTTTCTTTAAAGTTTGGGATTTTTGTTGCACATGTAAGACGGTCATTGTCTTTATGTGGTTATGTCCCGTCAGCACCATGCAATGCGATGTTTAATAGGTCACATTGTTTTCATGCATTTCTGCCAGATGCAATTAGGGAAGGCCTGATATGTCTTTTATTAAGTTTCAACTACACTGAAGCATGATAATTGCAAAGTGTTTTTTTCCCCCAAAACTTTTTCCAATTAAATAAGAGATAAGCAGAACAGTTAGCCAGAACTAAAAATCCCATCCACCCTCATTTTTTTTTCTCAAACAAGCCAGCCCTCCCCAATCTCCAAGCAAAGCGGGGAGTGAGCGTCAAAGGAAGCCTTGTACGGCCTCATCATCAGAAAGGAAGATGCAATGAGCCTCCCTGGCTCCTTCAATCTCACACTTCAATCCTGGGCAGCATGGTGTGTGTGCAGAAGCACCTCGGGGGACTGCTGTGGCTTGATGACGAGGGTCTTTGAATACATGGCCTTGTGTGTGGCCATTAAAGAGGGAGGCAAAGGGAGAGAAAGAAAAGGGAGAGAGAAAGTTAGGCTGTGTGGCTTCCATCTTCAAACAGACGGGCTATTGATGGACTCTCGACTTCAGATATTGGGATGAAGTTCTGGCACATTGTATAAAACATTAATGAAACAGGCCTTTGAACATTATTTTGAATGGTTTCTTACGATAAGGAGTCTGTTTTAAATTGATCTGTGATCTCATACCAATAAAAAGTCAAGAATGAGAATGTTTTTTTTACATTTTCCTCCCTTTAAATCTGTGCCTGCCCTGTAGTGTAACCATATTTTCTTTGATGGAAAAAGAAGCGGTTGCCGCTTTATACATAAGCCCTCCCTGTCATCATTACACAAAAGCAGGACAAATGACGCACAAATTTCCACTTTCCTTACATTCATTGTTATACCTTTTTTGCACAGGTTTTAAAGACACAAAACACAATTAGTGAAAAGCCTGAAATAAAAAAAAAAACAGTTTATTACATTCTTGCTGTCATTGTCTGTCAGGCTATCCTTTTGTTCACTTTTGTGATTTTTTTTCTTTTCACACACCACCTCAATCTGCCAAATGGCAACGTTTCATTGTGCGTGACGTGGATAATGCTTTCCACTCTTATTCCTTTCTGTGACATGTCAAACCTCTGGGGTGGCAGCTGAACTTTAAAGAAATACTTTGAGATGAAAAACAGTATATTCAAAACTGAAGGGCATTTTAGGATACTGATGGCAAAAAAAGTTAAGATAAGAACAAGGACTTAATCAAAATACTTATGTCAGACACGATTCAAAGGTAGTATTGTTGAAGTATTTCATTGCAGAATAGTTTTATTGTTAAATTGTTTTATTGTTAATCAATCCTTCATGGGGTATTTTTGCTAGTCAACATTGCCAACGTTGAAGGAAAAGAAGATTTTTCGTGGAGCTGCACAAGAGTGCACAAACCAAAACAGCATACAGCTGTATATCTCGACTCTTTCTCATTTCGTTCAGCCAATTGACTTGAATGAATTTGTCTGCAACAAATAGATTGTGGATGTAGATGCATGATCAACATGTCGGAAACATTCCAGGCTGTTTCTCTGCTCCTACCCTCTGTGTTTTCATGGATCTGTAAAACCATCTATTTGATTATTTTTCTTTACTCTTCAAGAGCAGGATGGTGTCCTCTGGGAAAAAGATAAATAAATAAAATATATATAATCCGGGTGTTTGTTGAGTTATCTGTGTATCTTGAGTTGCTAATGATCATAATCCATCACAATGGAGTCATTCATAATCATAAATTATTAACTTCCTTTTTTATGAGGTACTAAGACAGAAATGCTGTCACTGCATTGTTTTTTAATCTGTTATGAAAATCCTGCTCTAACAAT